AGATGTGTCAGTTTAAAGGAATCATCCAGGCAATTTAAAAACAACTGGTTGCCTGAAAGCTCATCTCTAATGGATGTGTGTTGCCCTTTATTGTTTCCATTCTCTTCCATGTGATTCCCTGATGCTGATGAAGTGCAGATTCTGAGTGACATTTTCCTTTTGGTTCTGGGGCACCTGCAACACTCACTCTCACAAGGACAATAAGAGTGGAGTCCATACTGCTGTCTTCCTCAGCAGAGGGCTCTAAGTGGAGCCTCCATCCCTCCCATTTGCAGTAAATTTGTATTATCACTTGCATATTTGTGACCAGTGTCCTTCTGTGAACTGACTGATACCAAAGGTACATTCCATATAGTAAAGTCTTCCCTTATTACCTAAAATAAATGTAGACAAGACGCCAGAGACGCTACAGGCACATTTTATTAGATAATTCAGAATGAAGTAAATGCACACACAGTCCTACTCTGTTTCCCTTTTAAAGTCTGTCTGTAGTAGACTTATGCACGAAAACATCTGATTATCATTAGCATCTGTAGTTAATCTTCCAGTTGCAGTCTGACAATTAACAAATCTACAGAAGCCAAATAATGAAGGAACAATGAAACAACACACTTGAAATACCACATGAAAAATGGTACTGTTTGAGCTGTCTGTGTTTAATTCTTTTTCCCAAGTATCTACTCACTCATCTGTTCTCACATTAATACAGTGGGTATGCATGAAGACATACCAGTTTATATAACTGACAACTTCACTTTTTTTTTTTTTTTTTAATTCACACCAAATGGAACTGTTAAAACATTAATCAGCATGAATTAAGTAGATTTCATTCACCAAAGGCATCAAAAGACCACACTCTTACTTGAAGGTGTTTTGAATCATCAGAGAACCCGAATGTTACTCCTAGAAATCAAAGTGCATGCTTTTCTATGACGAAGACAAAGTTTCTTCTCTCATCCAGTCCACTGTCAACTGAGAGAAGGAAGTTCAGTCATCTTGCTGGTGTGCTTTGACCTTTCGTTATCCAGAAAGCAATGAAGACCTTACAAATCAGCTCCAGAGTTAATTCATGGTTGTCCTTTCAAGAAAACAAGTTCTTTTCAAATAAGTCGCCTCTGGATTATTACAAGTATCCTCCTATGCTCCAGTGTAACACCTCAAAGTCACGCTTACAAGGCTGGGATTACATCTTCCAATTCCTGTTGATTTTCAGTCAGTGGAATTTGAAGTCTCTTGAGTGTTTTAGATCAAAAGAGATATTCTAATCCCATAAAACAGAAGCCCATATCCCATCAAACACTGTGCTGCTCTGTCCTGAAAACAGACTTTGGGAACAAGTAAATGCCTTTTTCAATATGTTACCAAACACTGAGAACATAGAACATTGCAAAATTAACATGTTTTTCACCCTATAAAGGTGAAATACTCTACCTTGTTATGTATCACACCCAGTTCAGTACATTCCTTTTCTATCACTTTCTTCCTCCCACAAAACTAGCAACCTTTTTACCTGTAAGAAAGTGGTGTGTACTTGACTTCTTTGTCCAGCTTGAAGCCTAGGTAGCGTGTGGCTAAGGGTGAAGGAAACAGGGAAGGAAAATGTTGTTTACATACTTAGAAGCTAGTTTCTAGTTTGTAAGATGTCTAGGACCATTATTCTAAACCAGTTTCCTTTGTTCTTTGGAAGTTAGCTGGAATATCCTAGGTAAGTAGAGTAGTAGTTGAGGAAGATTTCTACATTTGTAATATTATGGCTGAAGTAATAATGGCAGCTGTATAAACACAATGTGGAAACAGAGAAAAAATAATTGTGAAAGGCAAAGGCAAGGTAGCAAAGGGGAAAAACAACAGCAAAACAACTGGGAAATCTGACCGAGGAGAGCAGTTTGAGGTTAATATTCAATACACTTCCTCAGGTACACTCAGTAGAAGTATTGAAGGTCCATTGTGAAGGAATGAAGTCATGGGCAGTGGTTGCATCTTCTTTCTGTTTGACAGCTCCTGCACTACAAATTTTTCTCTGTATTTTCTATTTATGTACCTCTAAACCCTGCAGAAGAAAACAGGGAATTTGAAACAAGAGACAAAGTAAAGTGCATATGAGGAAATGACTTGTTGCTATCACCATTCAGACAGCAAAGCAAATTAAGGAAAACTTAGAAAACTTAAAATTTTAACCAATATTACACTCCAACAGAAATACTAGGCTTGTCTTTAGAGATTACCGGAAACCAAGAAGAATCACCACCCTTGGACTGACATTCACTGGCAAATAATGCTCAAAGTGTTATATGACATGGTTTTATAACAAAAAAAATTCTATATAGGAATCAATAGCAATTATGAAATCTCATCCATGCAAGTGATATGACTAGAATTTGAATAAATGAACCAATTAAAATATCCACTAGGAAAAGCAACGAAGGAAAATAATTTTTCCAGTGGGTGTTTACTTGGCTTACCCTTATTTGGAAATACTTCTAGTTAAGAGGCAATTCCAGATGTATATAAGAAAAGCCTTTTATTTCCCTCCCTTCACCAAATAAAAAGACAGTGTAAGCATGTTTAAGTTAGACACTGATGTTTTCCAAAGTATACATCAGCCCTCCCCAAAAGAAAAGCAATGAGAATTCTTTGGAACTTCCTGCAGTATTGTATAACAACCCCAGGGCACTGCTGCCTTCACCTCTGCAGCTGAATGAAAGAAGCCCAGGTAGTTACTGGGAGGGACCGTCCTATTGTTTGGCTACTTGGCTGAAATGAACAGGGCTGGGAGGTCAGCAGAAGACTGCCTAGGTTTAAGTGCTGACAGACATTTCTCTATCACCTTTTCCTCGGTGGAATGCTGATGCTGCTGCATTTGATCACCTTCTAATTCTGGTAGAGCTTTCTTCTTTTCAAAGTTAACAATTTAGGGATTATTCCTGGAAAGGTTGCTGCTGAGCTTGTGTTCTTTTCTGAAGGCCTATTGAATGTAATATGTAAAGGAAAAGCAAAAACAAATCCTTGAGACAAGTTGAACTGTCTTAATAGAGAATCAAATTTCTTCTTAAGAGTTATAGAAAAAGTCTAAAAGCTGTTCAAAGCTCATGCAGCTTTTCAGGGAGCCCCCAAAGCATTATTATTTCATCCCCATGTTATCCTGCAGTATATTTTCCTCATAGGACTTCTCATAGACTGCAGGAGGCTTCACAAGATGGTATTCTGTTCATACACAGCAACAATGGAAAGCAGACTTTGAACTCACCAGAAATGCCTGGACAGCAGTAAAGCAGCAGTACGGTCTTCCTCTGTGCTCACAGAGACTATTCAAATACATATTTCATGGTCATGGACATGACTTTTCCAGGTCTCTGCTGACTGACTTCAGCTACTTATACATCTGTTTGACAGGAAAGTTTGTCCATGAGCAAACCAGCTGGAGCTCTGTGGGTGCCAGGCTGCAGAGAAGTTACAGGAGATGTGCAAAAAATCTCCTTTCAGCATCTCTGTTCTGCCTGGACAGGACAGCTTGGATGGTCTAATCGGGCACTGTCAAATTCCAGAGCTAAGTTATGTTCTTGATTATATCACAGTTGCTTTGAATTGTCTTTTTCATCAAATATTTTCTCAAAATACTGGAGCAATAATTTTACTGAAGTCACAAAAACAAAAAAAAAACCAACAAAACAGCATACTTATTGTAGATAACTTCTTGTAGACCTTGGCTGCAGAACACTATTAATACACATTGGATGAAAGTGAAGAAAATAGAGTTCAAAGTTCAAAGTGGTGATGCTCTGTGAAACTAACTCCAATACTGCAATCATACAATAAATGTGTGCAGTGCATTCCAGTGCTCTTAGGTAGGGTTTGTTGTATTTCAAAATATGTACACAACTGTTTAACGCCTATCTACTTTTTCCATGAAAAAAAAGTGCCCACAAACCCCAGAGATTTCAGAAAGGTTCTGGGTGTCAAAGCCTCAAACGATAAGATATTACTAAAAAATAATAAAGGGCTAGTACATCATTGAAATAATAAAATGCTGTATTATATTAAACTCACTTGGCTTTTTCAGTCCATGAAGTTCAGATACTAATGACGAGGAGAAATTATAGTTGAAACTTTGGAAAAAGGCACTGGATAAAAAAACTCAATGAAACAATGCAAAGCATTCTAATAGCTTGAATTATCTGAAATAGTCACCTTTGGCTGTCTTTTCAACTGATGGAGAGAAAGAGACACTTCAAAGGGTTATTCATCTTTTCTTAAACAACAAAAATACACCTATGGACATAATCCTAAAAATCTCTCAAAATACTGTAAAGAACATCTATGGAAACCAACTCTGCAACAGATGTTCTGATATGGACTTCTAAAATTTGGGTACATAAATACCATCTTAGTTTTACTGGGCATTTTACACCTGAGCATAGTCCACACACGTTTAAGTGGAAGTTTCACAATGGAAAACATCAAAGAAACCACAAAAAAACCTGAAGAGGAATGAGATTGAACATCTGCTTTACAGGACAGAACAGAACACAGAAGTCTTTGAGGTTGGAAGGGATCTCTGAAGACTGCCTAGACAGGGGCAGCTACAGCAGTGCTCAAGGCCACATCCAGACAGGTTTTGAGTATCTCCATGGATGGAGACTCCATCACATCTCTGGGTAACCTGTTCCAGCTCATGCAATGGCCAATCCCACTGTCCATGTCTCCAGCAAAGATGTTGAATAATGCCAGTACCTGAGGAACACAAATCATCGCTGCTTTTCACTTGGACACCAAGCCATTGACCTCAGCTCTTGTTGGATGCAGCCATCCAGCCAATTTCTTATTCACTGAGTGGTCCACTCATTAAATCCATGTCTCCAGTTTTGAGACAGGGATGTCATGTGGGACTGTCCCAAATACTCCAGGTAGATCAGTCAGTTGCTCTTCACTGTATGCACCTCTGTAACCTTGTCATAAAAGGCCACCAAATTTGTCAGGCATGATTTGCCATTAGTGAAGCCATGTTGGCTGTCACCAGTCACATCCTTTTCCATGTGCCATATCACAGCTTCCATGAGAATCTGCTCTATGATCTTGCCAGGAACCAAGGTGAGATTGACTGGCCTGAAGTTACCACGTTTTGTTACACACCCTAAGACTTAGTTTTATGCACACACCAAGGAAAGACAGATTTATATTTTTTAAGAGTGAAAATACCAGATTAGGCTGCAGTCTTATAGGTCCCCTTTCATACAAAGAGATTTGTTTCCTTTTCCTGAGATTTATACAGGCTTCTCAGAATATTTATTTTGTAATGGAGATGAAAGATGGACTTTGATGACAGATTCTCCAGTCTGTCTTGGTCTTGGAGCACCCTTCAAAACTGGAGAGTCTGCTGAGGAACAGAATAGGCCACAGAGCACACTGGGTACAGGGAGATGGTGAACTGCCTACCTTGTGAGCAAATGTTAAATAATGTTAAAAATTGAAGCTCTTTGATGTTCTTTTCCTTCCTGCAATTTTACCAACACAATCTCTGTCACCACCACTAGATAGTTCCCTAATTAAAGACCTAACCATCTGAAGAACTGGCCCTTAGCAAGCAGTCTCACATTGTAACCAAATGCACTCAGTACAGAAAACACGCAAATCAGGACTAAACTAAAGTTATAAATTCTCTTTCTGAAATGAAGAATTTCCTATATTGTGTGCCCTTCAAAGACTTTCCATTCAAAAGTCTTTTATTTTATCGCCCCTAACATTCTTTCCTTCCTTTCCTGGGTTTTATTTGTAAGTGTGTTTTTAATTATAAGAAAAAAGAAACATTGCCACACATAAGCTACACAGCCTATTGAAATCACAGCTGTTCCAACAGGGAGACACTGGAGTTTCTAGCACAAGTATGAGAGGCAAGAGTATGTATGTTCACACCAAATTCCCCTTTTGTAAATTAGAAATGATTTATGAGCCTTTTTTAATATGTCCATTTTATTGCCAAACTGAACTAAAATATAAAAAAGTGAAATAAAGGAGAGACTGAAACAGAGTGGGGTCTGCATACTAAAGCAGTCATAAGTTTTTCAACATGTGGCTTCAAATGTATCCATAACTATTTTACAATTATATTTTAAAGGTATATTTATTTAATGTTTTTCTTCAAACTTATTCCATTTTTGAATTTTCTATGGATTATTGTGTTTAATTTCCTGACACACGTATAATTTACAACAAAGGTATGAAACACCATGTCTTAAGACATTATAAAAAATGAATTAATCTTTCTCCCTGGATATTTTTTTTATTATTCTAGTAATATTTTCCTAACAGAATAAAGAAATTAAATAGTTTGCATGCAGAATCTGTATTACAATCATAGAATCATGTAATGGTTTGTTTTGGAAGGATCAGTTGTTCATAGTTCCAGGAACACTGTAAGCTGTGCTTTGCATGGGGATCAGCCAAAATTTTGTCAAATTTTACTTCTTAAAATGCCATGTATTGGACATACCCACTCTGTAAACATCTGCTTCTATGGGACTCACTCAGATTTAGTCAATGCACCTCCTAGAATAATTGCTGTTTGTTAGTAAACTATACGTTGATAATTATCTGTGCTTTGTTTTGATTCATATATTGCAGCAGTAACTTTATTTTACCTGACACCTTCCTTCACTTGCCTTTTCTGTTTTACATCTCATCCATTCAGGCTTTCCCTTTCTCCTCTTCTCCTTCGCTCAGTGTCAATGAACCAGAAACCCAAGGTGCCATTCTATAACCATCCTCTCTTTCTAATTCCTCTCTGCTCTCTCCCTAAATCCTCTGAGTCTCAGACCTAACTTTACTCAAGCAGTTTTGCAGTAGTTCACCATCTAGGTCCCTCAGGCATCGACCACGTGCCACTCTGTCATGACCTGTACAAATACAAAACAAAAGACTTCGAGTCCCAGAGAACTTAAGTATGATCTTTAGGACAAAGGTCAGCACAGACAAATGGGGGAATAAGAGAAGCAGTAAGAGTGATGAAAGGCAGTGGGCTCAGCACAAACTCAGGCTTGCTGTAGACAACCTGGAAAAGCTAGTTCTTACAGAGAGATTTAGAAATGCAGATTTCACTAAATGACTACCATAATAAACAAACATAAATTTTTAAATGATGCCTGGTTGTATCCAAACATACAACAAATATAGAAAGCAATGCAGGGTGAAGGCAAAAATTGCCAAAGCCACTCTTAGTTTCAGTGATGTTAATTTTTACTTTTCTTAAGACAGCTCTTTGTCTTAAGAAAAGTATTTCTTGTTATCATTCTCCTGTTGCTTTCTGGTTTCTGCTCTTGCAACAGATATTCTTTCTGCCCAGATCTATCTTGGTGTCTATCAGGTGTCTATCAGTTGCATCTGAAAGATCAAAACCTCTTTTTACACATAGAAGTCCCTTCAGCTAAAAGTAATTTCTCAGCGGTTCCAGATTGCTCCTATGTAAATACAGATGCAAAATAGTAGCTTTACATTATAGACTGTTTCAGCCAGGGACCTCATTTGTGGGATTCTCTGAAGTGCAGAAAACACTTTGGACAGCTTAAAAATCTTCTGCAGTCAAGAAAAAATTCCCACTGAAGACAGTATTTAAGGACTCCAAGCATGATGGTATGGAGAGTGAGAAAGAAAAAAATTCCCTTCGTTTTTAAGAGCAATAGAAACCTCCAAGTCAATAATTTCCTGGCAGTTAATGACCAGACGGATTAAGATCTCCTGCCAGATGGCCATTAACTGCCAGGAAATAGTCAAGTCATTGGCCATTAGTGCTTAAAACACCATTAGGGTACTGCTCTTCATTAGTTATATTCACATGATGTTACTATTCACGAAGGACATGAATGCAGAAGAAACCCTTAATTTTAATAGGCAACAGGATGGAACAAAAATAGGGCTGAAATAGATGGATAGTTTAACTTATGAGGGGCTGTATTGCTGATAGAACAACAAGAATTTGATGCTCATAGCAATCACTGTCAGCAGCTGCAAACCTGCACATACTAATCCACTTATGTGCCTTCTCTTATGTCCTGAAAGGACCACCCCAGAGGGTGAAAGGTTAGTCTCCATGCCAAATCAACTAATGGTTTCCCTGCTAAGATGTCCAAAAAGTATGTGACTGTTGAGATTAGGTTACTTGACCAGTATTAAAAGGACTAAGACAAAAATTCCAAGTATAGAAAGTGCAACCATTTCATTTTATGGTGTACACACACACACACGCACACACATACATACACATACACAGACACGTTTCTTCCAAGTAATCTCCAAACACTGTGGTTTGCTATGGTTTATATACACTTTAATATATATACTATACTATCCTATAGTTTATATATGCTATGTCAGTTTATATATAATTTAGTATGGTTTATATACAGACTCCTATAGAACTATAGTTCATAGAATCATGTGCTGTATATACATATAACTACTGCTAGCTACTGACAGAAAGTCTAACTGATGAATGCTCAATTAACTTGAGACTTATTTATCATAAAATCTCCAAAGTTAAATTAATCCATCTTTGAAAATATTTTTTCTGATTTTTATATGTATGTGAACAAATGCATGAACATCTATAACCTGAAAAGGGAACAATTTGGGATGTTATTAGTAAATTAATTATGGAAAAACTAACCCCTTAATGTCACTAGTGCAAGCTAACTAAAGGATAGCAGGATTAAGGAGAACTGCCTTCAAAAGAACAGTGAATATACCTAGAGCTGAATTAGTTTTACTACTTTTAACAACAAATACAAATATTCCTGCTTATTCATCAGCCAATCCTTTTTTGAAAAAGATAGTAAGACCAGTTGCACCTTATCTTTGCCAGCATTTTTTCAAGGTACTTTATGCAAAGGCATAGTAAGTATTACCTTAAAAAGAGAAAGCTAGTGAAGAACTAATGAGTTTTTCTGCAAATCAAACACTGCTGATTGCTCAGTTGATGCTGGTGCTGTGAGGCTTTCCCTCTGCAACCTATGAGGTTGATGCTGCAACCAAGCTTATCCATTTTGAGAGATCTGCTACATAATGCTGTGAGAGCTAAAAGTTATTATGACACTCAGGTGTGCTGTAGAGGAGCTGTCAGCAAGGTCTTCTTACCCACACACCATGAATTGTATTTTCCCTGAGCTTGGTGTCCTGAATATGCTAAAACATGTTCCCACCAGATGTGCAGACACGCTAAAAGTTTGGAGAGGGCTTGTTTGACTGGTCAAAACTGTCTTCTTAGAAAAGAGAAGAGGATTTTTTTTATAATGTCTTTCTTTTTCCTGCGTTGTCTTACTACAGTAGATTATATTTGTAATATGTTTGCTGAGGTCTCCATAGAGGAGAGATGCAATTCCAAATAAACCAATGTGTTTAGAAAAAAAAAACTAAACTAAAGGTAGTGAAGTGAATGTCCCCAAAAATGCCAAAGATTCTTATGGGTTTTCTGAAATATATAAAAACCCAAGAAAGAAATTCCCCCCAGAAGGAATCATTCTAGAAGAGCCTGAAAACAGATGGTTTATAAAGAAGGAGTGAAGGATTCCATAGTAACATAGACATGTGTAAATTAGTAATTCTGGATACAACTATTGTAAGCTCTTAAGATAATCCGTCAATTAATGAGGAAAAATATTGAAAGTGTACATGAACATCTGGGGCTGGTAAGCAGGCTGGGTAGTCACTAAGTGTAATCTTCACATCTTAATTCAGCTTCTGAGAAGATGCCTATCTTCACAGAAATCCTGAAAAAACCCGCACTGTGGCCACAGTGCACTATTATAGCCCAGTGGTGTATTAACAACACAGCACTGGGCTGAACTCACCAGTTCAGGGAGAACAGTGGAATCCAGGTTTCCTCATTAATGCACATAGGGAACTGCCCCTCAGCAGTTAAGTCCTGGAAAATATTCTTAGGGGAAAATGGAACAGGTGGAGAGGAAAGGATTTCTTTTAATGCACACAGTCTTCATTGGTGTGCTAATATAAAAATAATTTCTGACAACAACCTCAGAACAGGCTTCTGAATGCCCTATATAACAATGACTTGTCACGGCCAGATGTACTGCATAAGCTTT